TCGCAACAGGGGGGGACCCTCCCGTGGGCGAGGAGCAGGGACTGGTGTCAGTTACCCGGGAATCAATCAGGTCCTTTTCGTAACAGGCCTATGGCTGCCGGGCACCTGAGGAGGTGTCTCCTAGGCCTCTGATCGCCCACCTCCAACAGAGGGAGGAAGCTCCTGGGAGGGCAGCGCCCCGATCCTGATCCTGCCCTTTCCCCACCCCCACCCCACCCCCGCACGGCCCCTCTGCAGGACAGGTCCAGGCAGAGCAGGAAGAGCAGGGGCCCTGCGGGCTGTGTGCCTGGCTTCTGGGGCGGCCGCCTCCCTGGGTGGGGAGGGAGGACCTGGGCGGGGGAGGCCCAGCTGGTTAGGACAGTGCCACTCCCACCCAGCCGGACTCAGAGGGGCTGGGAGTGTGTCTGCGTGTGGGCCACACCCACAGGAGCTGTCTTCTGGCCGCTCCTCCTGCTCCAGCCTCCTGCCCCAGCTGGAAGACAGCAGGGCCTGGCCCAGGGCCCAAGGGAGAGGAGCCAGTTTCCCCTCAACCCAGGAACCGGTGATGAAAGATTCTGGGGCTGCAGTGTATCTTGTTACCTAAGTCGGGAGCACAGAGATGGCCCCAGGATATGGGTCATCAGGCCACGGGTTCCTAGCGTAAAGGTGCCCCAGAGGAGGGCTTCCGGGGGCCCGAGAGCCCTCCGCACAAGCAGCATCGCACGTATGTGGCCCAGAGCCTCGTCCTGGTCTCAAAGGGGCCCGTGTCCCCACAGAAGCAAGGGAGCCAGGTGCCCAGCAGGCCCGGCTGCTGGCAGGAGAGAGAGGCAGGCAGCAGGTGCAGGGGGCTCTGCAGGCTGGTGCTGGGAGGGACGCTCAGAGCTTCTGGATAGTGGGTGGAGGGAGAGTAGAACGGCTTGAATAGAACTTGGACCCTGGAGCCCGGCTGCAGGGGTTCAAATCCCAGCTCTGCCACTTGGGAGCTGTGTGACCTTAAACAAGTGATTGCCACATTCCGTGCTTCACTTTCCCTCTGTGAAACGGGGCTTACTGACAGCACTTTCCTGATAGGGCGGCTGTCGGCGGACACACCCCTGGAACATTGCGTGCCACTCCACCTGCCTTTCCCGGTGCAGCGGGCACCCAGTGGCGCCAGAGGCCAGGGGCGAACCTCCCTTTTGGGGTTCAGTTCCTGCCTCTGTAAAATGAGGCCAGTGTGGACCTCATGAGCCCCTTTGAGTCGGCAGTTTTCCAGCCACTCATTCTCTGGCGCTCCCCAGTGAGGGGGTGTGAGTGCGCTGGGCTGGCTCTGGGACTAGCTCTGGGGCTTGCCTGGAAGGGCTGCTCCCCGAAAGCAGCCTCAGGTCGCCAGGCCTGACCAGCCGGCCCAGCCCCCTCCAGTGGCCGCCTGACTGGGGTCTGCCGGGCCCCTGAGTCAGACCCTGGTTGGCCCAAACCAGATCTAAACAGAGTCCAAACCAGAACTGAGAGCAGCAAGGCTGGGACTTGCCCTGGTCACCAAAGGGACCCAAAGTGGGTGGGAGGGGCACTCAGGGTGCCAACCAGGCAGAAGAAGCTCAGCATTAACCCGTTCGTTGTTGACTCAGATCTGGTGGAGAAACCAGGACAGCACGAGCCCTTCAAGGGGGAACAGCCATTTACTCCAATATTTTACAACCAGACTAGGTATGGGTGTGTCAGCCATGGGCCCACACGTCTGTGGTTGGAGTATGTGTGCTGGGGGTGCCCGAGGGGAGAGAACCTAACTACCTCCAGCAATAGAAAAGTTGTTTATCTGTGTTTATGGGTGCAATGACGCCGGTAACAGGTTTATGCATCCCTGGAAACAAAGGTAGGGCGGACTCATTTGCTTTACGCCTTTTTGTTGTTCTGTCTATGTTTGTCTATAATGTCTGTGAATTGTTTTATAAACAGAAAATACATTATTTAAAGTGTATGTCCAGAGGTCTGTGTGCTCAGCCCTCCACAGAAAGGCCTTGGGGATACAGCAAGGAGAACGTAAGGCTCGGTCTATTCCTTCTAGAATCTCGGGGTCTGGTTGGTGAGGTGGGATACACCAGGAAGAAAAATAATTGGTGGTGGAGAAAGGTGGTTGTGCCAGGCAGTGCTGGGCAGGACCTGCCTGTGCCCAGGACCAAGGTGTGGGGCACCCTGGGAACTCGGACCAGGATTTGGTGCCTCATCAGTCCAGGTGGTACAAATCCTCGCGGAGCCCAGAAACAGTACTGTCCCGACCAGGACCCACCTGACAGACAGGAGTGAACCTAGAATCGATGGGGCTCACTGTTGAGGCTCTAGACCTGGGCTGTCCAACAGGAGCCCCTGGCCACAAGTGCTGCGGAGCCCCTGCAATGTCGCTGTTGGAAGTGGGGTGTGTGTGCTCTAAGTGCAGCACACCAGATTTTTTGTTGTTAATTCTCACCTGAGGATATTTTTCCATTGATTTTTAGAGAGAGTGGGAAGGGAGAGGCAGAGACAGAGAGAAACATCGGTGTGAGAGAGAGAGACATCAATTGGTTGCCTCCTGCATGCACCCCAGCAGGACTGGGGAACCTGCAACCAAGGTATGTGCCATTGACCGGAATCGAACGCGGGATCCTTTAGTCCATGGGCCCATGCTCCATCCACTGAGCCAAACTGGCTAGTGCAAGAGTTTAAAGACTTAGTATGAAACAAGAATGTAAAACTTCTCATTGGTGTTTTTCATATTGACTAAATGTTGAAATGATAATATTTTGAATACACTGGGTTAAGTAAAATATATTATGAAAATTAATTTTTTCCTATTTCTTTTAAGGTAGCTACTAGAAAATTTAAAATTATGTATGAGGCTTACATGATATTTCTACAGGACAGCACTAGTCTAGGCTGTCCCAGAAAACCCAGAAACTCTCATCACAGTAAACAGAACCAGTCACAGAGCAGTCTCCCTTGTCAAAGAACAAAAGTCCATCACAGGCTCCAGAAGGGAGTTTTGGGCTGTTTTGTCTGTTTGTTTTTTGTAGTTTCAGATCTATAAGCACATGCCCTTCTCCCAAGGGTCGCTGCTCTTTGTCCTTCGAGACAGCTCAGGTGTCACCTCTTCCAGGAAGCCCTCCTGGGCCACCCCTATTCCTGGATCAACTGCCCATGTTCTAATAGTCTGTTTATTCACTCGTGACCTGCCTTGAGAGCTGCAATGTTGGCTCAGTCACCTCCACATCCCAGCACCTAATGCAGGGCCTGGCACGGAGCAGACAGCCACCAGTGACTATGAAATATGAATCCTGCTTAGCTGGAGGCACCCACCACTGCATTGCTTTTGCACACAAGTCCCCCTTAACCTCTCCCTGGGTTTCAAATGGAGGGGCTAACACCCCTAATCCCAGCCTTTCTGCCATGAGTCTCAGCCATGCCTCCTCCCAGGAGCCACCCTGGGTTGGCATCAGGAAGAAAGGGAATGGACAGAGGGTGAGGCTGGTGTCCGCTAGCCCAGGGCAGGTGGGGCTCCCTCCCCGGCCGCCGAGATGACCCATCCAGAGAAGACCCTCACACCCCAGCGCAGAACGGTACTCACCAGCGGAAGGAAGGTCAGCAGGGGCCGAACTCTGGGCCGAGCTTTCAGCGTGGCTGTTCCTGACTCGCTCTCCGCGTCAAACCGATTGTCTCCATAATAGATCCCATCTAGAGGAGACAGGGGAGGGGAGACCGTGAGCTGGAGATCAAAGGCACATTGGCCACTGAGGTTCATCTGCCCAGTGGTGGGCCGGTTGGCTCAGGCCCCACAGACGCGGTGTGTGCTCATGGGGCAGGATTGGGGGGGACTTCCGGGGCCGGTTTCTTGGGGTCTTCTGTAGCCTTCCTGGGGCGCTCAGCTCCCAGCAGCCATCTCTCTCCTGATCCAGCCCCTACAGGTCTTAGACTGTCACTCTCACAGTGGACTCTCCTCTGGGGCCCTGGGAGCTTGGCTTATCTCGGAGAGAGGGAGTAAAACACGCTGCCTCTCTCTCAAGTGTTTGCCTTTCTAATCTGGAACAAGCGGAGTAGATGAGGACAACTGTTGGCCCGGTCACCCAGCACCCACCTCTGGGCTCCTCCAGTCCCCAAGCCACCAGCGGTTGTGTGCGTGGCCATGTTTGATGTGCCCTTGAGGGCAGAGCAGAAGGAGCAGGACAGCAGGGTCTACGTGACCCCAGACACATCCCAGTTCTGCCACTGACTGGCTGGCTGTGTCCCTTACCCTAGCCTCAGTTTTCCCATGTGCACAATGCGAGTGATGATAGTGCCAACACCTAGGACTGTTGTGAGGAGTGAGTGTGGCCAAGCACATCGTAAGTGCTCAACACGCGTGGTCTCTTTCCCCGCAGGCAGATGACAGGAAGGCTTCTGCTTCCTCCAGCAGCAGCCTGTGCTCCAAGCTGTTTCTACAGCCGTGGGGAGGGTGTGAGGAGCCACCACACTTTCCCCACCAATCTCCACGCATCGCTAGGAATCTCACATCCCCTCTCAGGTCCACACTGTCACCCCCTAGAGGCAGGGGGCACTGTGGCCTCCTACTGTGTCACTCACAACCAGGGAGGGCTTACATACACTTCACAGGCCTCGAGTGAGGGAGCTCCTCTTCCTCTCTGGCCAGAGGGGAAAGAGAAGAAAGGTCAAAATCCCAACTGATCGGAATTCTACTAAGGAATTCATTTAAAGAATGATGGTTATGTTTCCTCTTGCATGCGACTTTAGGAGAGAAGTGCAAGAAAGCCAAATAATGTATTCAAGAGACTGGGCTTGTCAGAGAGGCCCTGGGATCAGAATATATTCATCCCCAACTCCAAGGCGCACAGCTACGGCCCTCTATGTGACCATCTGGGCTTCGAATGTGACACTGACCCCTGGGAGCACCCCAGGGAAGGGTGCAGAGGCCTCGGTCTGCTGCCCTACCAGGCAGAGAGCCAGCGGTACGTTTAAGATCCCCCATCTCTCAAAAGGGCCAAAAAGCCCGGTTTCGGTGTGCTCCACAGTCCCGGGGCGCTCCAGTTCCCTGCCTGCTGCCTGCACTCCCACAGTCAGGACTTCCCAGTCCTGGCTGCTGGGCTCCAACCTGAGGCTGGAGACCAAGAGCAGGGGGCGGGGCCAAGGGGTGGGGAAGCCAGGGGAGAGAGCAGGACCAACCAAAGTAGAGATCCCTGCAGGCACCCAGCAGCTACTCTTAAGCCCCCAGGATTCTCTCTGGCTCCCAAGGGTCTGAGTGTTGGCGCCAGGCCCTCCTGGGACATTCTCTAGATAGTGCTGCGTGTGTGTGTGTGTGTGTGTGTGTGTGTGTGTGTGTGTGTGAAGGTCTTAGCTCTGATAGGGCTTCGGGCCCTTAGTAGTAGTAAGGATGGGGCGGGACTGACACAGGGACCCGGTGAGAGGCACACTCTCCTAGGCAGACCCTCTCGCTAATCTCTGCACCATGTTGGGGTCCAGGGAGCCTCTTTTCTACTGCTGGGTTATCATGAGATTGATGGCTACTGTTAGTGTGCATCTTGGAAACTTCAGAAGCAAGCACCCTGGCCAGGTGATCACTATACTCATAGAAATAATATAACAATAGGTAAAACTTACGGGACAATTTCAACGGGCCAGGCATCTTAAACAGTATTAACCCCTTTCATTCTCAAAACAGCCCCATGCAATTTGCACGATCGTTACCCCTAATTTATAGATGAGGAAACGGAGGCACAGAGAGGTCTAATACGCTGCTGCCCAAAGCCCCAAAGTGGTGAAGCTGGGGTTTCTGGTGCTGGGCTGATCTCTGAACCACTACGCACACTGCTCCCAAGGGGGGTCCTCATCCCACCATTCACAGGAGGTGGGTGGGAGGTGGGGGTTCAGGGGCAGGGGAAGGAGGCTCAGCTTGGCCACGGAGCTGGGGAGGGGTGGGAGGTGAAGCCGCCGGCCCAGGCCCATGCAGGGGTCAGGGCACAGCCAGATCTGACCCACACACAGGCCGGCCCTCTGAACACCTTACAGGTTCCATGACTCAGCCCTGACTTCCAGGTACTGTTGTCTCGGTTGGTTCGTGGCTGCTTTGAGCAGGGAAATCTTTCTAAGAACACAGCTGTGCTCTGGAGAAGCCGCTGAAGGGAGGGGCTGTGCTGAGGTGGGTGGAAGGCCCGGTGGCTCCTTCCCCACTGGGGCACCTCTGGCGAGTCCAGTTGCATTTGGAGGTTCTCAGAGGTGTGGCTGGGAGTCGGGGAAGGGGTGAGGCAGCAGAGCCAGAGGGTGTGATGTGAGGAAGACTGGACTGGCCGCTGCTGCCTGCGAAGTGGCAGGAGACCATGAGCCAAGGACCACAGGTGGCTCGGAAAACAGCCGGAAAAGGTGAGAAAACAGATTCTCCCCCACAGCCTACAGGAAGGAATGAAGTCTTGCTGACACTTTGGTTTTAATGCACAGAACTATGAGATAATAAATGTATGTTGTTTTAAGTGCCCCCCGCCCCTCCCAAATAAACAGCTGTGGCCAGGTTGGGGGGGGGGTGCAGGGGAGAAAGAGGGGCATCTGTAATACTTTCAACTATAAAGATACATTTTTTTAAAAAAGAGCTGTGGCTAAAACCTGGCAGACTTTCCCTGGGCCCCTCATGCCTGGGCTGGCCCACCAACAGGGGCGGCAAGTGTGGCCACCACCATAAGCTAGGTCCTCCGGGGTTCAAGGTCAGGGCCGAGGTGTTCTGAGCCTCAAAGTCAAAGTCCCCAGAAAGACAATAGTCTGACCCTGGGGATTTCCTTATGCAAATACACAGCTCCACGGAGATCAGGGTCAGGGTCAGGGCCCAGGATGGGCCATCCTGAGAGGCAGCCCCTCCTCCACTGAGGAGGCGAAGGGGGGCCAGGCCACCTCTTAGGGAGGAAGGGACAGTGAGGAGGTGAAGGGGGTAATGGAGAGGCGGCGGGACGACCTGCTCTCTGAGGACATGAGGGTCCATAAACAGCTCACTGACACAGACAGGACGGGGATCCCCAGAGGTAAAGGGGTGGGGCAGGTGGAAGAGGGCAGAGGGGGGTGAATGGTGATGGAAGGAGACTGGACTTGGGTGGTGAACCCACAGTGCAGTGTACAGATGCTGTTACAGAACTGTCCACCGGAAACCTAAATAATATTATTAACCACTCACCCCAGTACATTCAATTAAAAAAATAAATCAGAATTTTACTCTGAATAAGTACTTGGAGGAAACTTGTGGACTGTACTAATCCATTTGTTAACATCCAGTATATTGACATACATGCAAATGCTATGAATGTTTGATTTCCTTTGTAATTTGTCACAAGACAGCGTGTTGCCACGTAAAATACCCATTTATCTATAACCTAAGCCCTAAAATATAAAAGAAGAAAGAAACAAAAGAGGGGCCCTATCCTAGTGTCTTGTCCGCCCTGGAACTTGGAAACGCCATGTGTCTGCTGTTCACCGCCCTTTCCCCCTAGAAGGGACCTTGGGGGTCTCAGGTTTTGAACTTGTCACACGGAGCAGAGAGGCAGCTGAGGAGTGTCCCGGTGGATCAGAAGGCGGGAAAGGGAGCCACGGTGGATTCAGAAGCTTCCAGAGAAAGGGGCGGGTACCTCAGGAGACCCCGGAGCAATCCCAGCAGCCAGCAAGCCTTGGGAGACCAGGAAGCCGGTCTGGACAGAGCCTGAGTCCCAGGTGGGCCACAGCCCTGTCGAGGTACACACTCAAGCCTCTCTGTCGGGCAAATTCTTCTAAAAACAACACAGCGGTAAAACAGGAGGAAGTCCAGGCCTGCCCCCATTTACCCAAACCCGGTCATTAAAACAATCTGTTTGCCCCAAATGAATTCCTCTTTCTCATGGGATTGTCCCAACCCCCCCCTCCCCCCCCCCTCCAAATGAAGTGCTTTCTGCGGGACTGGGCACAGGACTCCTGCCAGTGGTTCTGTTTCTCCCTCCCAGATGGACAGGAGCTGAAGGCGGCTTTGCTTTTATTTACACTCCCTCAAGGGCTCGAGTTCACATAAAAACACCTAATATTCTAAACACCTGGCTCAAGAATAATTCTTGTCTTTTAATTTTTGTCTCCAATTGCAGTACATTTTGCGTGTGTTTTGCTTCCTTATCTTCTAATTCACTAATTCGGTCCTCCACTTCTCCTAGTCTACTGTTGATACTTCCCTGTGGCTGAAGGTGCCTGGGCTCCAAGAAGCCCACAGCCCAGGCTGGGCCCCAGGCCGGAGACCCCCACGGGGAGGGGAGGCAGGACGGTGTGGGGTCGAGGCCAGGGGTACAGGGCTCACCTAAACTTAGGTTCCAGTCCCTGCTCCATCCTTATCACCTGCGGGCTTGGGAGTGTTACTAGATCTCTCTGAAAC